CAGGAAGCCCTGCACCCATCGGGGTGTAACGTTAATGCGTATGAAGTTTCCAGATCGAGGCTCGACCATTCCGGAGTGGTACTGCTCAGATTTCGAGTGATCTAATAGTCGGAGGGCAAGACGATGAATCAGATGTTTCTTGAATTTCACCCCGACCTTGCGAAGTCGTCCGAATTCCGAAAGTAGCTCTACATAGAGAATAACAATCCATGCTCTCCTCTTGCGACCACGTCCAGACCTAGCTTTAAAGAGATGCCTTTGGATACCCTGACGAGTCGGTTGAACAAATGCGTTGCCATTCCCTCTGGTATTGGCCCCGAGTTCCGCGAGAATATTGTTGCATGTTGCCCAGTATTTGCTGGCACGAGTGAGGTTTGCGTTGGGCGTACCGCGAAAATATTGGGGAAATTGAGGCACAGCCTAGGATGCTATTCGACGTTCTCCATTGGCAGAGGCTTCATCTTGCATCCATCTCATAATCTTGGCGGGCTGGGTTTTGGTCAGGACATTCTGGAATGCACGACGAGGGTTGGCGTTTGTGTGGGAATCGCTGGTTGCATTTTGAAAATCACTTGTGGGCTGTTGTGCTGTTTGCGCAACAGTAAATTCGCCGGGTTCTGTAGCGGAAGGGTGGCTTGCATCGGACAGACATTGGCTGTTGATGCGTGTTTGCAGTGATGCGATGATCGGGGAAGCCTCGACCATGTTGAGGTCAGCGAATGTTGCTCAGAAAGAGCAACGAAGTCCTCTGGAAGTTCTATACTGTATTTTGATTACGTCATGTGCAAGAGCAAAGAGACGGCGACGGCCGGCGGAGCAAATCTGCCATAAAATTTTTAAAAAGTACACGTGTAGCAATAAATCCGAAACACATACACTATTTGCCCCGGCCCTGAAGTTTCTTTCGCCCTAATTGGTGTGTCACACACTAATACCGGACATACACTAATTTTTCACGTACACTAAATACAGTACTGGGGTGTAGTGCTCAAGGTAGCTTTTCGAATGTTCAATTCAATTTATATATTTTTACAAAAAAAAAGCGGTCCTCATAACGCGTCCCAAATCGCAAGTCGCAGCCTCGACACGAAGCCAGCCCGTGCAGGCGCACGGCAAGTGCCTGTACAGTAGCTGCCCCCTCTCGCCCGCGACTTGCTGCCCTCGTCCGAGCCGAGTGTGTCGCGGCGGCCTCGTCGCGTCGTCCGAATCGCTGCGGATGAATCAAGGCGGAACAATGCGGACGCACCGCAGCCTCGCGGAGCGGCTGACGCGGACGAACGGCGCCAAAATTACGCGACGTGCCGCCTACACGTCCCGGCGCCCGCCCGTCCACTTGGCGCGCGCGCGAGCCTCCCGCGCGCTGACAGCCGCCCCGTGTAATGCGGCGCGCGCGCAGCCACACGTGGAGAAGCCGCACCCAGCGGGGCACGGGGGGGGGGCTTCTGTCGCGGCCCCGCGCTGTCGGGCCAGCGTGCGCGTGCCCCCGCCAGGCCGCACACACGTATAGTACGCGCGCGCCTTACGTCATCGCGCGGCCGGCGTCACGTCACGCGTGCGCCGTATTAGTAGCGGTACGCGCGCTACGTGTCTATCGCGCGCACCTCCCCGCGTCAGGGTGTATCTTAACATGCCCCGTTTTGCTGCGGTTTGCTTTGCCTTGCCCAAAGAAGTGACTTGGCGTGCTATGAGTGGCTCCTACGTTTTAATTTATGTGTTTAAGAAAAGCAACTGCTTAAGAAGTATACGGTATTTGTTAAGAATTTAAAAGTATTCCTGGCAAAACCGGGCAAGGCAAGTAAAAACCAGCCTGTTAAGACACGCCCGCGTCACCCGTCGCCGCTACTGCGCGCCCGCCCCCCCCCCCCCCACAACCCGATGGAAAACGCCCCGCTCCCAAAAAACGGTGCGGGGCCCACGCCTGCGAAACGCCCAT